GCCGGGCGGAGCAGCGCGGGGCCGGGCGGAGCCGCGCACGGCGGAAGCGGGCGGGCGCTTCCTGCGGGAGGGCGGCCGCGGCCGCGGCCACGTGCGGAGCGATGGCGCGGGAGGGCGCGGGGCTCTTCGCCGCGTTCCGGGTGCTCGGCCGCTTCAGCGGGCACGTCCCGCACGTCCTGCGCTATCACGGCCGCCACCGCGAGTTCTACCTGGCCGCCGCCGTCGGGCGCAGCGTCCACACCTACAATGTGAGTACGCGGCCGCCCGGTCCCCGCTCGCTTTTCCTGGCCTCCTTCCCGCTCGCACCGGCCGTGGGGAGGCCGGGGCCGTGCAGGGAGATCCGCCTCTTCCTCCCTTCCTTCTCCGCCCTCGCCGTCCTGATGCGGAGCGTGTGCGGGGATGCGGTGCCCCGGAGCCGCTCCTCTGCAGCCGGCGGTGACCGGGAGGGAGGAAGGGAAAGAGGGATGCTGCCGGCTGAACAAGCCGGGAATGAGCTTGTTCAGCCATGTGAGCAGCGCTAGCCGATACGGCACAACCCATCCGCCGGGAGCGCCCAGGCACTGAAGCTTTTCCTTCATCACAAGATCAGTTAAAGCTCACCCGCTCTGGTTTAGCGTTTGAGGGGCGGAGGGCAGTCAGATCCTATTAGAACTCCTGTATGAAAACGGGTGAGCATAGCTGAGTTCTGCAAGATGAAAGCCTGTGATACGGATCGGTTTTTGCAGTGTGGAGTCATAAACCCCTTAAGGTTGGGAAGGACCGCTGGAGATCACCCAGACCAATTCCTCTGCCAAGCCAGGGTCACCTAGGGCAGGCTACAGAGGAACGTTTCTAGGTGGGTTTGGAATGCCTCAAAAGAGGGAAACTCCATGACTTCCCTGGGCTCAGTCAAAGCATTTTCACTGTACAGGAAACATTGAGCTGGGTACAGTGAACACCAGAGTGTTCATCATGGACATCAGGGATCTTCCTGTGCTTCTGTGGTGCCTTTTAGCGTTCACTCTGACAGTTTTCTTCACAGCCTTTGAAGCAGAGTAGTGATCATCACTGGGCAGAGATGCTTAGATGCTTGCAACTAAAGCAGAATCTCTGGGAACAGAGATAAAATTAGACTAAGCGGTGGTTGTAGTGAAAATAAGGTAGAAGCAGAGATTGTGGGGAAACAAAGTTACCAAGCTCCTCAGGGTGTCTTAACATGTCTTTGGTTTCCTGTGAATTAGGGTAAAATACATCAGGAAGCACAGCTTACTATTGGTGGTCTTTTGGCAAATGCATTGTCCCATTCCTTTTGACCTACTGTCTGTATGTTTTTCAGTAGACAGTGTTCTAAACTGGAATGAATAATCTTCCTGGTTTGTGAAGTATCAAATTCATTCTCTGATCTAGGTTAATTCCTAGAGTTTTTAATTTGTTTATACCTAATTTGTTGCAACCATTCATTAAAAATGTATTTTTTCCATTTTCATTGCAGCTGAAGAAACTTGGTATTGTTGCTGTGAGTAAGTACTCATAAATTGTTCATTCCTCTTATTTTGTGGGTGTTTTTATTAAACATGTCCAACATCTACACTTCATTTTCAACTAAAAAACAAGAAAATAAATTATGTTTACTAATACTTACACTTAATATATTAAAAGGATCTCAGAAATCTAAAATACCAGTTTGGAAATAAGACTGCTGTTGAAACTGAAATGTAGTTTTATTAGAAAACTAAATTAAAACTAAATATTTTGTACCTTCCGTCCTTACCATCTTGTTCTTCCAAAAACCACCTCTAAGCCATAAGGATTGCACAGAGAATAAAGCTCAATTATTAATTTATTGAATTAATTTCAGATCCCTTTTTTGTTGTTTTTGTGATTATTAGAAGACTGTTATAGGAGGAAAATAACTACATTAAGAAAATAAATGTGGATGCCTTCAGGGAGTGTTAACAGTTGATTGTACTGTGCGTACAAAGGATGTGAATTCATGGCTTGACATTCACTTGGCCTTTGGTGGCAGAGAGCTCTGGCTGTCAGCAGCAGGGCCTACGTTCTTCAAGACCATCCCCAGTAGCCAGGGTGTGAAGCACTGCTAGGATAAGCTTGCAGAGGATGCTGTTTTTGGAGGAGTGTTGGAACTCAAAATGTCTCTCAGACATTTTTAGAGGTTCCAGGCCTTGGTCAGAAGCATTTTAGACCCTGACAGGCGGCTGGAAACAACTGTGATTTTGAGTTTGAGCCATGGAATGAGTTACAAACTTTGGAGGTGGAACAAGCAATCACAAAATATTAGATAGTATAGTAAAAGTAGTTACAAAACAGAGGGGAAATTTTTTTAGTATTGTACAGGGGGGTTTTAACACTTCTACCGGGGGGTTTTTACTTTGTACATGGGGGTCAGAAGTTCTAAGATGGAGGAAAGTGGGCTGACCCTGTTCTTCCTCCTTCTTCATCCTTGCCTCCATGTTCTTGGTGATTTTGGCACTCACAGATTGGTTTAGAGTAGAAAAGCACTTGGTAATATAGGTAGTAGGTATTGGGGGAAAACTATAAACATGTACTACTTAATATATAATATAAAAGATAGCAGCAGCCCTGGGTGGGGAGAGAGAAGAAGAAGAGAGCAGACAGAGAGGATGTCAGGGTGTGTGTGTGCCTCTGCCTGGGCCACTGACCAAGCAGCCGCAGCCCGAGAAGACAATCTTTTAGATAACCAACAATAAACTGCCTTGAGACCGAACAGCAAGAGCCTGCGCAGGTTTTCTGTGGAATGACGGGTTGGAGGAGAAATTTCACCACCACATGAGACCCCAGAGCAAGGCTGGGGTTCTCACAGAGGAGTAATGGCAAAGTTTCAGTTCAGGGAGCTTGCAGCAAAACACGAAGCCTGGGCTAACAGGAGCCTTGCCAAGTCTGGCGAGGACAAGTGCAGAATCCTGCTGCACCTGGGACAGGGCAAGCTGGGAACTGACTCCTCGTGGCATCCTGCTGGGGAGAAGCTGGGCTGTGCTGGTGCCAGGCTGAATGTTGACCAAAAACATGGTAACTGTGAGTAAGGCAGGCTGTGTATTGGGCTTCCATCCAGCAGATTGGGCAAAACTGTTCTCCCCCTGCACTTCATGCTGGTGGGGCCATGCCTGGACTGCAGCACCCTGTTAGTGTGGTTCTGTCCCTTCCACAGCTCCTCTTTCTCCTGCAGGAGGCATGCTGAGGAGCAGGAGAGTGCTGGGGCCTGCAGCCAGCAGTATGGAAAGAGACATTGGAGGAAGTGGATCTGCTTAGTGCTAAGAAGGGCAAGATTCAGAGTGGCCCAGAGGGTGTCTGAAGGGCAGTAGGATGGTCGGGCTGGTTTGTGCTGATGGTGGTAGTGGTAGACAGCAGCAAGGGGCAACTCCCACAGATTGCAGCCGGAGAGGGTCACAGTGGGGAGCAGAAAAATGTCCTGAGGGGGTAACTGTGGTACAGTGTAGACCTTGAGGAGAACTCATTCTTCAGAAGTGTTCAAGGCTCAACTGGGCACAGCTGCAGCTAACCCAGTCTAGTACTGGTGATAAACTTTGTGATGATCTGGTGGCATGTTGAACCAGTTGATTTCCAAAGGTCCCTTTCACTTGAGACTTACACGATTCAGAGGGATGCACTCCGTCTTGAAAAGTAGGGGCTTTACTTCTGTTTACTTTTGTTCTGTAAAAACAAAAACTTTACATGTCATATATAAAGTATTTTCTGTTAATAGAACATCTGTAAATTTGAGAATGAATGTCACACAATCAGGACCAGATTTAGATTATTAGCTATGCATTTTTAAAGCGGTAAACATTAATTTTGTTTTCATCTTGCAAAAGCACAAAAGCATTGCATATTCTGTTCTACAGTAGGCTGCATCTTCTTACATTTGTAATAATCTAAGCTTTTTGAGAAATTGAGGTGTTTACATACAAAACTGTGATCGAAAAATATGGATGCTATGCTTCTCTTTTTATGGTGCTGTTGATGCTTTGAACTTTTTAATTTGGGTCTGCCTAAAACTGTCTTAGCCTAAGCAGCTTTACATACAGCTCCTGTGGAGTACCAGATGTCTGTAACCTGGTTGTAAGCCTAAGTCACTTCAGAGGTGCTGTGGGAAGATATGTTCAAACTAATGAAACCTCACGGAGTGCAACCTTCTTTTATGTTCGTATTTTAGTTCTTCCTTGTGAAGCTGTGCTGCAGTACAGTAGGGAGTGCAGTTTTCTTCATGCCTGTTAACAAGTCACAGTACAAAACACCTTTGTGGGCAAGGCTGCTGTGTGACCATGCTAGTTTGTATCATAGGTGTGCTCCCAGTGATTTTTGACCTGGTGTTTCTCTGCAGAAGTGTAAAGTGCTTTGAGAATTTACATTTTTATATTTCCTTGGATTGAGAGTATTATTCCCTGTAGTATTTTTTTTTTTAATTTTTCTACTATCTGGGACCACATCAGCAATTTCTCAGTGTGGTCTGGAATTTGATTCTTTTACCTTTTGGGCTAGTCAAGTAACTGTCCCGATATTAGATACTCTTTCTGACCCAATTATGAGGTAGGGAATGAGATGTATTCTTAGAGCATTAAATTCTCAGTGTGATCAAGAGATAGGTGCAGGAGTGGGTCACTAACTCCCGGGCCTGCAGAATAATTTAACCTAATAAGCATTGCTAATGCTGAGACTTTGATTTATTATCTGTGTTTTCAGCCCTCACAAAGCTAGCTTGTACCTTTCCTTATAGAGATAGTTCACTAATATATTATTAAGTGTTTTTCAAAAGAACCACCTTATGTTCTACCAATCTTATGTTACTTATGGTGTTGTTACTGGTGTAATGTTTTGTAGTAATATTTGCGTTCTTCTGAAATGTGCGCATTTCTTTAAAATTCAACATGATGTTTGAACAGAAGTCTTTCTTTGTGGGTCACCATGCCAAAGAAATACACTGTCAAGCTTTCTCTCTTGCTAGGAACCTGAAACTCATTTAACTTTACTTTTGTTTGATCAACAGGTAACACTTTGCCACAAGACATCACATGTTTGGCAGCAGATCGCATGCTGATATTTGCTTCATATGACAACATTCTCCATGCTCTTGCAAGGAACAAAGAGGTTTCTATTAACTTACTTATTACTCAGTAGTACAAAACAGTTGTGTAGTGTCTGTGGTATCAAGGAAGTTAATTTTCTATGAATGCCTATTTCTGTAGTGATGTGGTACCTTCAGTTTTAGGGAAACAAGCTGTAAAATGAGGAGTAAAAAGCTTAAACTGGAAGAATGTAAAAGCAAATTCTATCATGCTGAACTGGGTTTTGCATATTAATTAGAATAATTAAGTAGCTGTGTAAAAATTTTAAAAAATCATTTAAATAAATAAATAATTTAAAATACTTAGGTAGCATACTTTTTGCAAACATTTTTAAATATCAGATATAATTATCTCTTGCATTTCAAGTTGTGTGGCCTTTCCATGAATTTTATTTGAATTTGCTGCTGACCTCTGTTAGGTGTCCTCAGGTATTATGTTAATGTGATATTCTGCCTTAACAGTTTATTAGAAGCATTTCTATTTTGAAATTATAGGTGGTTCATACCTATGAAGGCCACAAGGCAAAGATACACCTTCTACAGCCTTTTGGTGATCATGTAATCTCTGTGGATGTTGATAATGTTCTTATTGTTTGGAACATACAGTCAGAAGGTGAGAGATTTTATTTTTGGTGCTGCTCTATAGGATAGCACTATTAGACATTCAGTAATTTAAGAAAAGGGTTTTTTGTTAAATGCACATATTCAGAAGTGGTTTATTATTGAAAAAGAAAATTCTTAAATTATCGTGCTACTTGGTGATCTGAAGTCCTAATCCTGCAGTAATGTTTCATTATGGATACTGTAGCATGTGCAGAGGCCCAGTAAGATTCTGTGTAGGTGTAAAAGAGAGAATGATTATATGAAAATTACATTTTAGTGTTCCATTTCCTTGTAAAGGCTGTGATAGAGCAGCTTTGGCATTATTTCTGATTCTTGTAATTCCTTGATATCTACCAGACTGGGTATGATTAAATTTTAATGAATTATCTTTTTGCTTGTGTCAGCATCTTCTCATGCCATTGTCAAGTACTTTGTGAAATTGTACTTCAGTGCCCCAAATATTTTTCTTTAGAGAGCATTCATTGGTGTGACCAGTGTTATTCTCTGTGTGCTGGTTGTCAAAAGTGTCTGTAACCAGGCTTTAGAGATTTGGAGTTGCTATTGCAAACAAAAGGCATGCTGATCAGATGAGCTGTTTTGCTCAGGCAGAAGAAGGAATCCCTCAGAAGGATATAAATCAGATAAAGATATGGTATTGCATGTGTTGTTGTACTGGATAGACTCACAGGGAAAAGATACACCTTCAAGCCAACAGATTTTTACATTATAAAGAACTTTAGCCTCTTCTGTTACACATTAGCTAATCCTTTAATGTAAGAATAAACAGTTGCAGGATTTGAAGAGTTAAAGCTCTATCCTGCTTTTTACATTTTCAAAGGTATGGCAAGCCTGCAGATTTGTAGGGGTAGCTACACTAACACTTTTTCTTGCTGTTTTTGCAGAAGAATATCTTCAGATAGATTTTGATAAAGCCACATTTGCAGTTTCTGCACTTCTGCATCCCAGCACCTATCTGAATAAAATTCTCCTTGGTAGTGAACAAGGAACCTTGCAGCTTTGGAATATAAGATCCAAGTAAGATTCTTGTTACTTTGGCTGTGCTTCAAGTAGTTTGATAGGCAACAAATGATACTGTTAAGTATGGAATCTTTTCCTGAGTATTGGCATGGGTTTTCAGTTGATATATTTCCAGGAACAAGGAATGCTGCTGCTTCCTGAATGCTGATGCCTTTCAGGTTGCATGTTGCAAGAGTAATCTCCTTGCAAAATGTCAGGGGTTGTTCAGGATTTTTTTTATTTTTTTTTTAATTTCTTGGAATCACATAGCTTTCACATGAAAGCTATTGAAATAATAGTGAAAACATGTTCAGGCTTCCTGCCTCCCATATTCCAAGCTTGACTTTTTTGGTTGTTGTGGGTCCAAGGAATTGCTGGCAGGTAGAGTGGAGGTAATTACTAGCATTTGAGCCTTAGACTCAGGTAAGAGATGCATAGACATGCAGTTGTCTCTGAGCATGTCCCAGTAGATCATCATGCATCATGTCAGTATTTCATTCCTACCATGAGCAGCTGCTTTTCTAGATCATGAAAGTTACAGGTACAGTGAGCTTCACTGCATGTTAATGTTCATACTGCAAATACATGTTAAGTCAGTGTGTCATTCTCCTAACTCAGCTTGCCATGGTGTCATAGATGTTTCTTTTGTTTAATTTGTTCATGGCATGTAGTTATGTCACTGTTGTGGTATTAGTACACAACACTGCTTTTTCAATAAAATTTAGCCATAAGTTTTATTTTTAACCTTGCTTCTTAGTATCACTGGGGTTTTTCTGCCTTTTATATTACTTGTAAGAACAGAAAGCTGATGTACTTTCCTGTATGAGTACATATAAAGCGACCATTGTGTCATGGAAAATCCCCAAGGGTTAACTGATTTATGAGTTTTTTATGTTTGTTTTACAGCAAACTCCTTTACTCATTTCCAGGATGGGGCTTAGCAGTCACAACTCTTGAACAAGTTAGTATTTTTTTGTTATCTTTTATTTTCGTAATGTAGCTTGTCAAGAACAGCAGTTAAAACACTGTTTAAAATGACATCAGTAAAGATGACATGCATTCTCCCAGGTAATTGTGGTGAGCCTGTCTTGACTGAAGGTTCCTGCTCTTCCTCTTTTCCTAGTTCTGTTGCATTTAGCATCTAACCTGTTTTGTTTTCATCACATCCATAGTCTTCACTGAATGATGTCATGAAGTCACAGAATTTTCATGATGCATGAGTATCATGAAGACTTGTAGTTTTTTGCCAAATTTGTTTTACTTCAGACTTTACTTTGATAAAATGTAGATTTTCTTGATTCAGTAAAAGATTTTTCTATCTAAAAGTAAGTTAAAACTTAGCCATAGCATTGATGACAGCTGTGAAAATGGTCAGCATTGTCTAGGGTAAAACTTGTGACTGTGGGGGAGTGTGGCAGGGTGTATGATGGTCTTCCAGAGCTGCTAGACACTGAAAGTGATCTGTTTTCCAAAGGATTTCCAACTTCTGCAAACAGAATTTTTTCATTTCTTGCAGGCTCCAGCAGTGGATGTTGTTGCTGTTGGCCTTGTATCTGGTCATATCATTGTACATAATATTAAGTTTGATGAAACTCTGATGAAATTTCAACAGGACTGGGGTCCCATCACAGCAATATCGTTTCGTACTGGTAAGTCCTAGTGTTTTTAGTAAAAACATTTATGAAAGCACTAACACTATTGAAATGGAGAACAGTTTGTGATAAAACATTTCAGAACCAAATTTGTGCTGACACTTTCAGTTTTCAAAGGCTGAAGGGTAATCTAGAAAAGGTAGTAATAAGCGAGATAATGTATTTTTGTCATGCTAGCTGTTTTATAGCATTTTCTTGTGTTGTTGCACAGAAAGTGGCATACAGTATACTAACACAGTACACACTTGTCAGAGGTATTGTAATCAGTACATCCTGCTTTAGTGTCCATACCTGCTGTTCAGCAGTGTCTTTCCCCTCCCAGACAACGTTAGAATGTTAGTAGTTGGGTGAATACTGAATGGTTGTTACAGGGAAATCTTAACTTGTATTCATAGCTTTTTCTTGTCTAACAAACATGTCCTAATTTTTAAAACTAGTTACTTTAGTGTTGATCCTGCCTACAGAGCTGTTGATACTGAATCTAATCTTTCATTTGAATAATCTTGTGAATCTTAACAGAATATAGATTGAGTGCAGATCATGTTGAGGAGGAATGCTACTGGAGAAAATGGTAGAAAGACTTGTGGGAAGTAGAAAAAGAGTCTTTTGTGTCAATATGAAACGTGTTTTCAAGAAAAATCTCTAGCTCTGATTGCTGGATTTAGAGAGTTTATTGTTCTATGATATATGAAAAAGTTGTAATTTTTTAATCAATGAATTTTTTTTCCTTTTCTGATAGACATCCTACAATATTTCTGTTAAAATCTCGATTATTTCTAGCATCAACTTGAGATTTTTTCCTTGTGGTTATAGACTTTTCTAGCATCAGTTTTAAGATGTGACAAGACAGTAGGTATGAGCTGAATGGCGATAAGGGAACCTTTTGAACTATTGTTTTTTTGAGCAGATGGACACCCAGTAATGGCAGCTGGTAGCCCAGTTGGACACATTGCTTTGTGGGATCTAGAAGAGAAGAAACTGATGTGTCAGATGCAAGACGCCCATTCCACAGCAATAGCTGGCATGACATTTGTCCCTGGAGAGCCACTCCTTATAACTAATGGTGCTGATAATGCTCTGCGGGTGAGTTACAATTGCTGCTGGTCTCTAAAACCAATGCAACAAAACTCAAATTGCTGGTCTCATTTGGACTGTAGTGAACTGTAAAGATTTGCTGTTTTGTTGTCATTGTTTCATTCACTGCTTTGTAGTACCCTTGAAGAACAAAGCTTTGGGTCCACTTTTCCGGAGCCACACTTTATATCCCAGTATTCTCTTAAATCTTGATCCATTTTGATAATGTTTTGGATCATAAGCAGTTGCTGTTGATAAAGTCCCTCATGCTGCATGTCCTCTGATGCCACTTAGGCTTTGGTGGAAGGGCAGAATGAATACCAGGAAACAAATAAGGCGATGGGATGGAAACTTCCAAAGTTTTAGTTAGGGTTAAGGCTGAAGGCCAGTGTGTGAAGCTGGCTGCACCAGCTCCCAGATAAACGTGTTCTACTGAGAAGAGGTGCAGTTATTGACAAGGCACTGTTTATCAGCCTGGCTTTTTGTGCTTATTTTGGGGTGCAGGTTTGGATTTTTGATGGGCCTGGTGGTACAGGTCGTGTATTGAGAAGCCGAATGGGACATAGTGCACCACCAACAAAAATCAGATATCATGGACAAAATGGAGAGCAAATTCTCAGTGCAGGTATGAATCGCCATTCTTCTTCAGTCTGATTTCTTGTTGTGATAAAGAAAATGTGCAGAGCTAAGTGTCTTTGTTTTACATGAGATTATATTTCAAGTGTTGTATGTTGTCATAAAACATAGTATGTAGCTAACATAAACAGTGTAATTTATTACTGTAACAAAGTGTTTGACTAGAATTTTCCTCCTTTAGTAGGAAACTAGTGTTTCCCTAGAGTAACATATCAGCAAGCTGAAGAGTACTTGAAAGCAGAAGTGCAAAGGAGCTGTTCTATAATCCATATTTACATATTTGAGTAATAAAAATGGTTTTGTTATCTTCTGAGCAAGTATTAGATGGTCAGAATGAAATCTGTAACAACTCGAAAAATTTGGTTGTGGCAGGGGAAAAATAAGCAACATAATGCATTTAGTACCTGATTTTTAGTAACTGCTTTTTACACTGGTTTGGTCAAGCTTTGTGGCTTTCATTGTCTTTGTAATATATTACAGCTTACATGTGTCTGTAATATGTATTTTCAAGGTTGCTTTTTACTGAGATACTAATCTAAAAGTGTAAAAAGTGCATAAGTGGCTACCCTTCCCTAGAAACTAGCATATTTGAAAAGACTTCTTAGGTGAGTGAAGTGCTAGAACAGACCATGTTTGACCCCAGACCCACTTAGGTGATGAGGTGATAGAGACTTGCCACTTAGTCTCTAATTACTCCTAGCTAATTAATTGTCTGTATGGGCTACTTTTGAAAACATTACACTATCTGTACTAAAATCTTCCTGATCATCCAACTAGTGACTCACATTCATGTAATGAGTTATTGTCTGTATTTCAGCTCACACCAGACAAACCACAGTCTCAATCAAGTGTTGTTTAACACATATTCACATTTGCTTTTGCAGTGGAGAGGGCACAAACAACGTTTACAATGAAAAGGGTCTTAGCCTTTGAGATCTGATGTATCTTCAGTGCTGAGAGACCTTGTACGCTTCTTTTTTTAACAGGGGTAAAACTTTGTGCAGCAGAAGTGGATTAGGGTTGCCTTTCATGGGCTACTGGTTTCCACAGAAGAGACATCCCCTCAAATTAACTTCATAAAATTTCATTAATGTCATGGACATTACAGAGTCAGAGGAATTGAAATGGAAAAGATGTCTGTGAAGAGCAGACATTCTGATAATGTATGAGGCAGAGTTGTAGGAATGGGGTGTAGGCCCTAGAAAATTAGGCGCTACTTAGAGTGTATCTGTATTTATTCTTGGGCCAGAATTTTTCATAAATACTTTATTACAGTATTTGAAATTGCTTATTCCTTACCTTTTACTTTTCTTGCTCAAATAGCAAAGTTGATTTTTGTCATTCACTGCCCTGTGCTAATACTTTCTTAGGTCAAGATGGAACACTGCGATCTTTTTCAACAGTGCATGAAAAGTTCAATAAAAGTTTAGGACGTGGTAAGTGTTTCAGTCAAAGTACAACCACTGGTGAAAAGAAGGCCCAAAAAGCATTTATGTAAACATTAGACAGGCCTTATTTTCACTTCAACTGTTCTATAAAACCTAATCACCTCAGTTATTCTGCAAACTCAGTCCTTCCTGCAGTAAGTGTACTCTCATATTTGATTATACTTTAAAAAAGAGATTTCTGATCCTGGCAGTGTATGTCACTTCACTGTGGGAAACACTGTGCATGACTTTTATATTAAAAATATTGAAAACAGTAGCTGACATTTCAGCATATGTAATTGCAACTTTTTACCCTGTTTCCATTCTGTTCAATTGACTAAATTATTAGCTAATTCATATATCTTGGCTTGAGTTCCTTTGATTCATTGTAGTGTTTGACTTAAACACATCTTGCACATCATGACATGGTTAAGGAACACTTTTATTTGGGAGAGCAAGGATCAGAAAGACTGAAACAATTCAGATACTTAGTTTTAAGTATCTGTCCATGTTGTTATATATGTATTTGGACCTGTTTGAAAAGATGCATAAAAATGAATTTGGGCATAAATTTGTAATTCAAGATTCTTCGGCTACTGAATGGTCTGGGTGCTAGTTATTGCTTTATGTAGTCATGTCTACGGGACCGTGTTTTTAGCTGTGATGGGGGAACCTTTGCCTCAGGATTTCAGCACAAGATCCTGGAACAAGTAGTTTGAGTAGTGAATTCACAGCTGTGAATATAAAAGGCTGGTGATTTGCTCAGCATTACATGAATTTTAACAGAAACTATAAGTGTTCTTAGCTCTACAAACCTGGGGAACAGGGATGTGTATATTTAAGCCAAATGTTTCTCCGTTTAAAAGGAGCTTTGCATTTTGTTAACAGTCCCTTTTAAACCATTATTCTCAGTTCTGACAATGAGACTGAGACCCTTCATGTCTATTTTTAAGGTTCGATTAATAAAAAGAAATCAAAAAAGAAAGGCCTTAAGCTGGATACGATGGCACTTCCACCAATTACAGCCTTTGCTTCAGGTGAGTGGTCTTTGACAGAGGTTGCAAACTAAACATGAATATATTATCTTCATGTATTAATGTCATTTTTAGCCCTAGAAACACTATTGTTTTGGAAGCACGTGCTGTATCTAGATGATTCTGTGGCCTTTCATGAGCTAGCGAGTGACAGTTAAAAATTGCATTTGACTTGGAAAACTGTTCCAATATCTCAAAAAGAGCATTTCATTTTTAAATATCATTACCTGGCTCTTGGCTTGAAAATCTCCTGCATGAGAACCAAAATCTACAGATGTACATATTATTCCAGGTGCAGAACCAGTGGCTAGGTGGAGGATGATCTTTGTCAGCTGAGGAAGTCTTAGTTAAACTTACAGTTGATTTTGAGTCCTCAGTACACTTATTTTAGTCATTTTTTTAAAGCTGAATTTCAGATAATCCATTCATTTGTAATTCAGTATGCAAATAATAAATCTAATTTCTTTAGGCAGATTTATTATTTTGCTTCATTAAAATGGTGCTTCTTTGAATTAATGACCTCTTCAGACTGGAAATCTCTTTTGTCAAAAGTGTAGCTATTTTCTCTTCTGAGGATGTTTTATTGTTTCCTATGTTGAAAAATCTGGATTTACAGTTTTTGTTATTCACATTTTATTTACATTACACATGTGCAACTGTTTGCCCAGTGTTATTTCTGAATGCTAGTCTTTGGAGTGTGCAACAAAAGCACAAAATATGAACTGTTCTGTCTAAAGGTACTTTAAAATATCAGGAGAGCTGAAGGTTGACTTTAGAATTACTGTTTCTACAGTAATTACTCTGTTACCTTGCAGAAGTGGCACATCAGAGTGACTGGGATGGTATTGTTGCCTGCCATCAGGGATATATAACCTGTACAACCTGGAACTACCAAAAAACCTCCATGGGAGCTCACAAACTGAGGCCAGAAGAATTTAGCAAACACAAACCTACTGACATATATGCAACAGTAAGTTTACTTAGGATAAGATTTCTTCAGATTCACACTATATGCTATTTTGATTCCTGTTGGTACAGAAATAATGCTTAGAATGAAAAAGCACTGTGTCCAGTGAGCTGGTTTGTAATGCTTATGGACTTATGGAAAGCTGTTCTTTTTCCCTAAACATTCAGGCTAGGTGCACTAACTTTTGGCTCAGAGAGGTGGTTGGTGTTTGTTCGCCTTGGTTATGTCACAGCAGTGTAGATTTGTCTGTATGCCTGTGCTGCTTAACTTACTCTGAGAATGCAGTTTGCTGAAGATTCTGGGCTTTTTGGCCATACAGAGAAGTGTATTTCCAAATCACAAGAAGGATATTGCCTCAGAAATCCTTTACAGCTTGAGCTGGATACAATGACATGGGGTCGAACACACAGTGATGGGGATACAGATGTTTGCTGAAGTTTACAAGCTTTTTAAAGCTGGTAGTTACTGTGGCACACCTTATTTGCTAAGGGTTCATGCAGCTCCTGTGTCTTGGTTTTTTGACATTATGCTTACTAATTAGGTGTTAGATAAATTGAATTGTAAATATTCAGTTTTCTTTTGACTACTGGATTCTTTGGACTGTATCTTTCCAAAGACATCTCACCATTGTTTCTTTGTTTCTTCCTATTTAAACTCTCTGTGACCTCACCCTAATTTGGGCTGGTATTAGTAACGTAGGCATTGAAAGAGACATGCAGTTGCCACTCTTACAGTTTGTCTTAGGGACTGAATTTGTGGCAATCTTTATTATTTAATTTACAGTGCTGATATTGCTACCTATGGCTTCTGATGAATCCCTAAGCTAGGATTTCATTATCTTTCACAACCATGCATTGCCATATTTATTGCATGTTGATTCTTTGTTCATTTTGAGAGCTTCTCCCTCTGCTTTCTTGAGATGTAATTTGTTTGTTCTGTGCAGGTTTCCTCAGAAAATGTTTTTGTGTTTTATATTCTCAATATGCTATATGTACCTTCTAACAACTTTTCTAATTGACAGACACCTAAAGAATGGTTCTTATAGTTGTTTTGTGTTGTTGATTGATTTTTTTCGTTTATTCCCTTGAAAGGCAGTTGACATTACCTCGTGTGGTAACTTTGCTGTAATTGGGATGTCAACTGGACGGGTAGATGTGTATAACATGCAGTCTGGCATTCACAGAGGCCGTTATGGCAAAGAAACGGGTAAGAGCTCCTAGGATTCCTAAATATTGGCACTTAACAGAACAACAGTCACCTTGTGTTCTGTCATCATGAAAATTCAGAGTTGAATGAAGATCATGAAGATTCTGAGTTGAATTTGGGATGCATTTCAGTTTTTCTAATTATGCTGCCCTGTCTTATCTTACAATCAGAAACCTGACTTGAGGGACAGGATCCTTGATAACTTTAATAGCTCTGATGTTAGCATATCCTTGGTTTTATTTAAAACAAAATTGTCAGTTACCACAATGATTAGCACTTAAATGAGATGCTGTGGCCTCCACTCTTTTTGAGATAGTCACATTTCCAGTATTTGACTTTTTGTTTTATAGGGTTCCGTCTCCTAGATAAATTTTCCCATCTGTTTCATGCTCCCTGCTTAGAAATGAAAAGAAAATTGAAGCCCTAAGCAAGTCCAGCTCTTTGCATATGATGTTATTTTTAATTACCCAACTGCAAACCCTGACATTTCCTCTTAGATTTGCATACATATATATTTCATGCATTTATATTTTATGCATATTTCATATACTCTCATACATGTTGTTTTGGCACTCATGATCTGAATTATTTTGTTGTAGAAACAGCAAAAGAGTCCTGCCGAGTCCTTAAGATTTACTAAATTTATAAAAGCCATCTAGCTCAGCAAACATGAACTGGTCTCTTTATAAAATCACTGGTTGATAGTGAGAAGAATTTTCCAATTTTGCTTATCAGCCAGTAGCCCTAGGTATAGATTAAGAGATAAAATTGATCCAAAACCAGAGGAGCTATGTCTTGTCTTTACACTGCAGTGTGAAGTAGCTTTGGAAAACTCCCAGACTTTGTGCCTGAAGTTGTAAATTTTGTCTGGAGTGGTAGGTCCTCTTGGAGGCATTCCTTAAATGATTCAAAAAGTCCCTCAAATCTCACAATCGCAAAAATTTCCCCAAACTGAAAGTAGAAATAGGAGCTAACACTCAGCTTCAATTGCACTTCTTACTTGTATTCTAGGTGTTTACTTGAAATAAATTTGGTTTCTGTAGAGATAAAAAAAAAACTTAAAATGCTGGAGCACCTTGTCAAGTGGCTTTCAGATTGTCATATGCTTGCTGATCATTCATTGTAGTCAGGCAAAGCTAAACAAAATAGTGTTTGGCATTTAGCTGATTTCTATGCTAAGTTTAAATTCTGAAATAGTACTCTATTTTTTCTTTATTTGCAGCACATGAAGGGGCTATTAGAGGGGTAGCAGTGGATGGATTGAACCAGCTGGTAATCACAGCTGGTAGTGAAGGATTAATTAAATTTTGGAAATTCAAAATGAAAGATTTGGTTTATTCCACTGAACTTCCTTCTTCTCCAAGTGGAATTCTGCTTCACAGAGACAGGTAAGAAAGTGAAATTATTTCATGTGTACATTGTTATGATGAACACACTTATATAGAATGGCAACCAGTATCTTAATTAGAATATATTAGAATTTATACTTCTAATGCTTGGAAATACAACTGACTAGTAGACAGAGGATGGCAGGACATTTTATTAGGCTGAGGGAATATAAGACTTGCTATTTTTAGGATAAAAGATACCTGGAGCAGTGGTAGGATGTTTTTATTTTTTGTCTCTTGAGTATTCCCTCTCATGTGTGTTGATTTTTTTTGGCAGTGGTATTCTTGGAATTGCCTTTGATGACTTCACTATTAGTGTTCTGGATATAGAAACCAGGAAGATTGTCAGGACATTCTCAGGACACCATGGACAGATTAATGATATGGTAATTGTTAACTCCTTTCCTGTAACAAGTGCCATACACAGATACCTAACATATTTTACAGATGGTGGATTTCTCTGCATGTATTAAATCATTTGGTGTTATGTTCACTCTGTGAACAGTAAAGCTGTAGTTCAGCTCCACAGCAGTTTTAGCCATATGGAAATGTAAAGTGATCAAATTGCCATCTATTTTTGAATGTCCTTTGTGATTTAAGTATAAATTTTAGCTATAACAACAAGCTGATTTGGGAATCAAACAAAACAAAGCACTCGGAATAATAAAACTGCGTTGAGGAGCAAAATTGTGCCAAAATCTCAGCTGTGTATATAAAAAAGATGAGCAAACTGAAAACATCTGAGATTATGCAGTACATTTTTTATAAATGCTACTAAAATAGTATTTACTTGACTTACTCAACTTTAGGCTTAGAAATAGGTTTCCAACATGAACATAAAAGTGAGGACTGAAGTGCTTTGAATAAGAGTGAGATACATCTTGTGTTTTATGTTTGAACCTATTCTTAAAAACCTTCTGGTTCTGTTCTTTCTTCACTTCCAGTAGTATTGTTGTCAGTTTTGGTTCATGGCCATACCATTTCACCAGGGTTTTATCTTGGCAAGGCCTCCTGTGGGGACTGGCTTACTGGTTGTGCCACTAAATTGACTATTTTATTTTAGACTTTCAGTCCTGATGGTCGTTGGCTGATAACTTCATCAATGGACTGTTCCATTAAGACTTGGGACCTTCCCTCTGGCTGGTGAGTCAATTTAAAAGCATACAGCAGAAGAAATAATCCCTTCTGATAAATGACAGAAAGCTTTCTGGCTTGATTATCTGTCACCGGATGTGACAGTCAAAAGTGCACATGATATAAAAACTCTGCCCACTATTTAAATTGTGTCCAGTGCTAGAAATGCATGTCTTTTTCTGAGTCTACAGAACAACACTGTGCTGAAGATCTGTTGATGCTGCCTGGAGTTTCCATGAGTGAGTGCATGAGTGTGAATTTGTTCTTTGTCTGGAAGCAGCACTGTAATCTAAAGGGCAAGAGATTGCTTAATGTGAATTGCACTGTGATATGCTGAAGTGTTCATAGGATCAAAGAGTGGTTGGAGTTGGAAGCAAAGATCTAGTCCAGCTGTCTTGATGAGGAAAGGAATTTTTCTTACTAGATCAGGTTACTCAGAGCCCCAGCTTGGCCTTGAACACCTCCAGGGCTGGGCCATGCACTACTTGTTTATGCAACCTGTTCCAGTGCCTCAACCACCCTCATCATAAGAAAATTCTGCCCTATATCTGATCTGAACCGATGGCCTTTCATGACCCTTGTTCTGTCACCACAGGCCCTGTTAAAAAGTCTCTCTGAGTCTTTCTTGTAAGCTGTCTTTAAGTATTGAAGGGCCACGAGGTCGTCTCCCCAGAGCCTTCTGTTCTCCTGGGTGGAGAACACCACAGCTCTCTCATTTTCCTCGTAGGAAATGTGTTCCAGACCTTGAGTCATTTTGCTGGAGCTGCTCTAACTTCATGTGTCTTGTGCTGGGGGCCCAAGAGTTGGATGCAGTACTCCAGTTGGTTTTGTAAAGAGAAGCCTGTTTTCACTTACATTAATTTTAACAACACAGCACAGCTTTGCATCAGTTATATTTTTCATTTGTTTGTACTTGCAACTGCCAAAAATACTCCCTTATGATCCATGATGAGTAGTCTTCTCCCAGAATAAAGTCTGGCTGAGAAGTAGGCAAGTACACACAAGAAGTTCAGGAGCCCAGGAAAAAAAAAAAATAAATACTGAGAAGTAACTTTGCGTTCTGCCAGTGCATTCTTTCAGCAGCACAGCGGATAGATTTGTGGTTTTTTTTTTAAATTTAAGGTAGTGCTGTGCAGTATGCAGATTTGGTTGAAATGAAACTGAAAGGTTTCATTTTGGTTGATTATTTTTGTTGACACAGTTTGGTAAATAATTTTGTATGCTGTAAAAGTTCTCATTTTACTGCCAGAAGTGCATTGCATCTTAAGAAAGAATTGAGAGCCACTAGTGTAAAATAGGACAGGATGGGTATTAACTGTCTTCTTTCCAGTCTAGATGGAAAGAAATTAGCACTCTGGTCTTCATCTTTTTTAACACTCTTTGCCTTGCAAACTAATATGCCTACAAAAAATTGCAGTGTTAACTAGTGTCAGTTTCTTCTGTTTTTCATTTCTTCAATAACATAATACTTTACAACAAGAATCTATTTATAATGTTTTTTAAATGTAGTCTGACAGTAGTTCTCTTTTACGTGTAAAAAAAATTAAATATTTTCTCTCCTGTCTCTGAAATTCGGGTCAAGCTGAAATCTAGGCAGATAAATTACAAATCCTGGTTTTAAATGTAATTACGTTAAATTATCCTTCCAGTATGTAAAAGGAAGGTTTTCCCTTAGGCAGAGGAGTGTATTGAAAAGGAGAACAGCTTTTTATAAAAGGCTTAATGCTTGCTTTACCTCTGTGGCTGATAAATACAGAAAACATCTCATGAACTGTGTGTTCCAAAGCCTCAGCTTTGATATTGTTCCTATAAAAAGATGGAGAATATGTTTCTAGAATCCAATATTACAAAAATTACCAACTGACTTTAATAAATTACTTTAATAACCCTAACACCTATTAACTGGACATTTGTTTTTACTTGAGAGTGATGCTTAACTGTCCATATGTAATGCATTGTAGGTTTTCCTAGTGCATGTTTTTAACAGAGGGCTTTTTTAAAACTGGGAAAAAATTATAACTTTGTGTAAAGAAAGTTGCAAGCAGGAGCCCAGGCATTATGCATATATTTCTTTCTGCTGTGCAGCTTGCATAGACAAATTGAGGAATCAGGGGTATGAGCTGACTGTTCATGGATGAGGCACTTGAGAGAAAATAGCATAGGAGACCTGTTAAATGTAAGCACAACATGGTACTTTCCATTGTCACAGTTTTGCAGTTACGCGGGAAGCATAAAGGTAAATGCCTTCAGCTCCAAAGCAGGATTAATTTCATTTTTTGAGTAAAAAATACAAGTGTGTCTTATTTCCTGTAGTAGATTGATCCCTCCTTCCCTCAAGCCTGTAGTTTTAATCATGATTTAAGTTCAGTAAGTAGAAAAACTTAATTTCTTGTTAAATTTGTTTTGGAGCTCTTTGTGGTTGATTTATTGAACAGAATTTCTCAGTTACAGGTAAGGATTTTCCCTAAATCCATAAAAAGATGGATTTGAAACTAAGAGAAAGTATCTAGGGTAAATTTTTCTCTCTATTGTGCACTGTGTGTACAAAATGTATCTGATATAAGTTTGGGATTTATGGGTTTAGTATTTATATATTTTATATTGAAAGCAATGAATGCTTTTTCTCTTACCTGAGATTTTCAGCATCTGTCTAAGGACATGCACAGGGTGTAAAATACTCCAGGGGAAAAAGGTTTTTATTTTTGACATGCTCTTTCAAACCATCACCGTAGTGCTCAGTAGCTAAGAAAATACACGCCCACAAGATTTTATGTTTTAAACTTCTGTGTTGCATCAATATTTTTTTCTGTGGTTAGTGAGCAGAACAGGGCTGTAGAGCTGTAAACAAGGACAAAGTATTCACACTCTTCGTTGTTCTTCTTGTTTCTCTTGGTGAACTAGTTGTAAAATTAAGCTTTAACTTAAAATTTGAAGTAACTGAAATTTGTATTTCAGCAAGACAAGCAATGCTGTCAACCTAAGCTTGAGTGGAAGTCTGCTAGAAAGTGCATCATGCAGAACTTAAATGTTTCATTGTTTAAATAGTTGCATAATAACATGTTTCTCTAATGTTATTATAGTTGTATTTTAACTTTGTTTTACATGGTATTTTTTCAATGTTCTGCAATCATGAAAAAAATTACAAAGGAATAAGGTTTATGAAGCTGAAGATATGGTAATGCCAAAAGTGTTGCAGATAATCAAACTTAACATTTGACAGTTAATATTTTACTTTAGAAACTAGTACATACTAGTATTAACCAGGTGCAGATGAAGTATGCTGAGAGCAGTAATTGTCAGTTTGGGCAAGTAGGGCTAAATGGAAATACAGAATTTATGGACAGTAAAAGGTCTGTGTTAGGCATAAGGAGTTGAATGCTTCATTGCATATTCTCCAGGGTGCAGATGTCTAAGGAGGTGCCAGCTTTATCTGATTTTAGAGCATTTTGTAGAGACAAGGGGTTTGTTGCACAGTGCTGTTCACTTGCTTTGTTTATATAATATATTTGGATTTTTCTACTACCCTGGTTTGTGTCCATACTGCTAATGGCCTGTTTGCATTCAGGTGTAATTCAAATGTGTGCAGATAAACAAGCTTTTCTTGTTGATAATTTCTTTGGTTTTTTTTTCTTCTCCATAGTCTCATAGATTGTTTTTTGGTCGACTCTGCAGCTGTGAGCCTTACTATGTCCCCTACAGGAGATTTTCTGGCTTCAGCACATGTGGATGATCTTGGAATTTATTTGTGGTGAGTATGTAATCTGTTTCTACTCAGAATTTAGGATGGGACAGAGTTCTTTTAATCACCTTTATTGCAAATTGAGAATTACCCTGTTAAATATCATCTCCAGTGTTTTGTGTTCTCTGGTTCTAATTAGGACAGGTGTTCTGTATTGCTCTGATTCCTAAGTAATGAAATTTCCACAGTTAAATTACTTATTCAGATATTTTAAATTATTTCCTTTTTCTAAATGTTTCTTACTCTTAAGAGTTCCTGTTATGCCATTCGTAGTTTTTCCTAGACTCCATTTCCCCTCTGCTTTGAAATGTCTTTGTTCAAATAGTGCTTCTTTCTGAAGTGCCTTTCCTGTCCTGTACTCTTGTCTAAGACTTCTGAGCAGCATATAAAAGTTGTGTTTATTTCTCTTTGTTAGTGATAAATGAGCACAGAAGTAAAATGTGATTTCATTCAGTTTCCTCCTTATACAGCTTTAAAACAAATGACTGTTCAGATCCAGTACTGAAGCAACACAGTTAAAATGGCTTGGGTCTTTTTCCCATTATTCCAGGTTATATATGTTGACTGTAGTTTTGTCTGAGGAATGTTGAGTTGTTAGGCCTTCCTGTGGTTAAGTAAAAGTGCTTCCTTGTGAATAACAGCTGTTTTTACAAACAGCTGTTTTAAAAACAGGTATTTTTACCGAGCCCTGGTTTGTATTGACAAAAGAAGCAACTTGCCAGAATTATTTTTGTGCATGTTTCAAACCTGAAGAAAGTTTGCTGAGAGTATTACCCTAAAATCCTATGAAAACAGGATGAATCATTTATATTTGCATAATGTGTTCAGCCTGGAGAAAGCTCAGGGGAGAGCTTAGAGCCCCTTCCAATGCCTAAGGGGGCTCCAGGAGAGCTGGGATGGGGCTTTGGGCAAAGGTCTGGAGTGAAGGAAAAGGGGGAATGGCTTCAAACTTAAGAAGACAGATTTAGATTATACATTGGAAAGAACTGCTTGATATTGAGGGTTGTGTAACACAGGTAAATACTCTTTTTGGCCATCAGGACCAGGACAATTAATGCCCCTCTCCTGGGTACTGGTGAAGTCCCACTTCAAATTCTGTGTTTAGTTCTGGGCCCCTCACTTCAAGAAGAACATTGAGGTCCTGCAGCCTGTTATTATTACGTTCTTGGCAATAGTGCTTGAACATAACATTTGTATTTCAGATGTTCAGGTGAGTCTATTGCCACACTTCATTTCCTGCTTTATCTGGTAGATGAGGAGAGCTAATCCTGAATAGAGTCTGGTGAATTGCCATGCTGCAGCAGAATTAGACTGTGCTGTAAGTTATGTCTGAAGTACTTGTTCCCATTCATCTGGAGATGGCTTTTAAAATGCCTGTCTTATTTTTTTCAGGTCAAACCGTTCTTTGTATTCACTTGTGTCATTAAGGCCCCTTCCTGCAGATTATGAACCATCTTTGGTGACACTCCCCAGCACCTGCCCCATGCAAGGTAATCCTCAGATGAAAGTGTTTTTTATTTTTCCTTTGCAGTTTGTTCCCCTGCCTGTATGCCACAGGTTCATTGTGATTTTCTTGCTGGCAAGAGAATTGGGTTCAGATGACCTGGTATGTGCCTGTGCCCAGTGAAAAAAAGGCCTTAAGTGGAATTTTTTGCTAAATTAATAGAAGTGATTTTGCATCAGAAGTCCTCTAGATGGGGATCACGTCTGCCCAAGTTTGGAGTGCCTACATTTGCATCTCCATTTGGAGAAGAAGCACACCTAGCTGTTGGCCACTAGAACATGCCTCATGGGGATGGCTGCTCTAGCAAGCACGTGCTTGCTCTACATACTTAAATAAGGGAGATAGGAATTCATCCCAGAACTTTGAATGTTTTTGTCCTGGTTCCATCTGAAAGCTTTAATCCACTTTGTGTCTTCAGGAAATGCAAAGTTCCTGTTTAGATGCTAAGGGCTCTTAATAGGTTACATTCCTTTGTTGTTTCAGGCTTGTCTATTAGATTCGTTGTTTTAGCCAAGTAATATTTTGCAAAAAGAAAGGAAAGTAGACATGTTTGGTCAAGACCACACGGGAAATAACGAGAAAACCTAATGACTGATATTATAACTTTTCTTATGGGATGTTGTGCTTTAATGTTGAGATTTTTTTCATTTTTATGTGCCACTTCAGTCGTACCTTTGAAGAGGTTGTAATGAGGTAGTGAATATTCCAAGTACAAGGATCTAAATGCAAGGATTTCACAGCTTTATAATGTCGAACTACAATTACTGTGTATATATTTATTCAGAAAGAGCAGCTGTAAAAATTTTGTTTTCTTTTATAAATTTATAAACTGATTTTATATAACTTCAATCAAAGTGGACAAATCTTATCAGTTATTAAAATCTGTTTATTAAATTCGACATCTTAGCTATACTCTTTTAAAATTATTTAATGTTTCATAAGGCTAATACAGATTGTTTCTGTAGCTTTTTAGCTCAATGTTATGTTAACAACTAGGTGTATAACTATTATGTATTTGTTATTCAAGAATTGTAAAAATATAAAAGTGTTTGGCTTGGTTTTTTAAAAAATTAATGTGGCGTATGAAGGGTCATAAAAGATATCTGTTTCTACAAGATGTGGATGTGTCAGGAGATGAAGAGCCATGTGATGAAATGATAGAATATGTCTCACCTGAGCAACTGGGAGAGCAGCTGGTGACCCTTTCCTTATTACCGGAATCAAGGTGGAAAAATCTTCTCAACCTTGATATTATCAAGGTACTGAAACTGTGCAAAAAATAGCATACATCCATATATTTGCCCTATTTCTGTGAAATGCATTACTTACTTATTCATGAAATCTGATCCTGCTTTTCAGATATTTTTCAAGCTTTTGCATTAGAAATCTATGTGGTGCTTTTCTCAGTCCCTGGGATTTGGGAAAGGGGCTGTTTTTCTGCTGAATAGTAACTTCATAATTAGTGGTAAAAGATTTTACTTGTGTATTTACTTTTCAGTTAGTCTTTAGAGTTTTCACAGTATTTTAAAAGCTAAACTCGTGACAAACAAAATATTCCCCTATGCTCTTACTATTAAGATAATGATTTTAACTATCTAATTAACAGAAAAAAAATAAACCAAGAGAGCCACCAAAAGTTCCAAAGTCAGCACCTTTCTTCATCCCAACACTTCCTGGTCTTATACCCCGATACATTCCACCAGAGGAGGAAAATGATACCCAGGTAAAAACAAGAATCAATGTAATTGTGTTTATATAGTGTATTTTAAAAGAAATTTCAAGTGCTTTTTAATGTTGGGTTAAATCACTAGACTTTAAAGAACCAGTTTTAACTCACTGTATTATTGATTTATTTCTCAAAGTCTTATTCTCTCAGTAGAAAAATAATGTAATTGAGTTGTAAAAATGTGTTTGCATATTCATGGACACACTGCTGTGTTTTTGTGGTCTAGTCAAAGGTCGTAAACCTTGGGATACTGGCACAGAAATCTGATTTCTACATTCATCTTGAAGAAGCCCTGAGTACCAATGAATGTAAGTTAATGAAATATTTCACTAAAAACATTGATGCTGCTTTTATTTTATACATACGTGGTTTCTAATGTCAGAATTGTAACAGATGTGGAAAAAAAAATGCATATTACAGTATAAAAGGTAAATAAAATTATTTAATACAAAGATAGCCAGCTCAAAGATTCGTTGGTCCTGCAGCATGGAACCCAATTCTGGCTAAAACCCTTATGGAGAAAGAAGATTCGGTTCCTAAGATCATTAAGCTTTTTTGAAAACTGTGATGATATCACTCTGAAAAGGTGCTATGTGTTAGTGCTAGGGAAAGAAAGAAAAAAAGAAAGGGATTGATTTGGTAAGGAATACTCTGGTGATTCACTGAAACATGAAAAGCATAATGTGCCTAGCAAGTTCTCCTTTCAAGGGTTGCTTCACCAGGCAGTCAGTGAACTTAGAGTGTTACTTCATTGCCCTATAATTTAAAGCTTAGGAAGAAATAAATGATACAAAAATAAGGTGATTTCTTTGAACATTCAGTTTATTTTGAAATTCAATCACTTAAACAACCTGTGGAATGCACCAGCTGTTTTTCACCAGCTGTTTGTCTTGTGATGCTACAGAATCGTTGAAACTCAGACTTTTTGAAATTATTGCTAATATAGCTGACTTGCAAATGTAAATGGATGGTATCTTGTCCACAAAGCAGTTCTGTTGGGAATTCTTCTACTCCTGCTTAAACTCTCTGGAGATGACCAGCTTACTCAAGGGCACTTAAAACGTTTTGTGTGCAGAACTTTATTATCTGTCACAAACAAGGTGTTTTCTTCTGCCTTACTTTTAGTATTTCGATTGACATTGTTCTATTGAAGTGCCTCAGAGCCACTCAGAAGAGGTGAATGTTTGAAAACCTGGTGGAGCTGGCTCAGGAACAAGTGCACTCTGATGTACTTGGGCATGTGGACCTGCCTCAGGCCACCTCTGGTGTAAGGCACGTTGTGTGTGTACCACCTGCACAACGTGTTCCACGCTTCGTTTCTTTAATGTCATAAAAAAATATATTTAATGCATCTGCTTATTACTGTTAAAATAAGTTATATTCAAAAGTAGCTATTGTTTTTTTAAGAATCAAATACTGATTTGTACCACTTGAGGAATATCAACCAATGCCTAATACCATTAGTTACCATGAAGTTGGTCTTCTTAGCAACTTCTTAGCAAAAGAAATATTAATCACATACATTTAAAAGATACTATATAACTACCAGTTGCATTTTGCAACCAAACATATTTTTGCTGCTTCCTTTTTAAAGCAAATAGGTGGAATCCTCATTGGTGATCAGGTGGGATGGTAGAAGTCCTGAGAAGGAACAATTATGAAGAGGAAGGAAGTTCGTAAATTGCATTAATTTCTACTATGAAAAAGATTTTCCCCTAGCACCCTCCAGGCATTCATTTAACAAAATGAATAATTTTGCTAGATGCACCAGAAAATCTCTAGTTTTGCTTAATGTCAGCTAGAGTAAAGATGCCTGGTAAGAGTAGTGCTCTCTGTCTTTCAGAGTATATTCACAGTTAATGGCTCAAAATCTCAACTATGTACATTCTTTTTGCCAAGAGATGTGAAATGACAGTGTTATGTGGTTAATTAGCAATTTTGTTTAACTAGGAAGACAGAAGAGGGGGAAAACTGAAAAAAATACCAAGGTGTTACTTGTATTTTTCAATTACAAATAAAGTGCATCTGTACTTTTAGTATGTGATGGGACAATAAAGAGAGGGAGACATTTTGTTGAAAACAAGAAAGTAAGGAAACAGTAAAAACTTGAAATTCATAATCACTGCTTAAGAATTTTAGAATAAACCTGTCTTGTGGAGGATCTGTTATATTCTGTTTTGCAGATGTTACTGATAATATGTCCCCCAATGTTCTAACACAGATAAAGCTCCACTTGACTTACTGAAAAGCTTGGGACCATCTAATATTGAGGTAGAACTACGGAGTTTGGCCCCTGAAGGTGGGGGCTCAGTGGAGGTGATGCTGAGCTTTCTGAGAATGATTGGGATGATGCTGAACAAGAAGTACAACTTTGAACTCGCTCAGGCGTACCTGGCACTATTTCTAAAGGTAAAAAATTTCTTATAAAATTTATGTTAGTCCTATTTAAAATAGCGATTATACAATAAAAATGTATAAATTGTCTGCTCGAATTATCTGAAGTGCTTTTGGTTGGGAACGGGTTTAGAATGTCTAACTTAATGTATCGGATCATTTGGCAACTCATTTGGTGACAGTCAAGAAAAACTTGCCAAACAGAAGATGTTGTGAAGAGGCACCTGCCAGACAGGTTTTGTGCTCGTATTCCACACTTTGAATTGTTTTTATTTTTTTTTTAACATTCCTAACTTCTTAGTGGTTGTTAATTGTTAAACTAAGGTATGCTATTTCTTCAATAAGCAAAGAATTTAATACACAATGGTTGGGAAATAAATTAGACATTTTGTTGGATTTCTCACAAGACTTTGCATGCCTGACATACATTCCATGTCATTGGGCTGCTTTTCTTGTGTTACCTGTTGAGTATCACAGAGCTAATGAAATTTCCAGGGGGTGTGTAACTTAAAATTACTAAAGCAGGGTAACAGTTACTCTTAGAGAGAAAGTGGTTTTGCAGAAGATTTAAGCCCTTTGGGTGTACAAGTGCTTAAGTTACTCTGATTTATAAATTAATGTGAAAGCAATCAATAACAGTTTACTTGGAAAACATTGTTATAAACATTCAGACACATGTAATACCAGGGCATCCACAGCTTCTCTGGGTAACCTGTTCCAGTGCCTCATATTCACAGTAATGAATTTTGTCTAGTATCCAGACTGAACTTACTATCTTTTGGACTAAAGCTCAATATCAAGGCTTCTAGATTTAAATTGTAGCATGGAAAATAAATATTCCATCCATTAAGTGGCATTAAGTTCAGAAGGTTTCTCTTCTCTCTCTTTTAACAAGGTTGCTGTTTGTCACCTAAGGAGACCTTGTCCATCTCTATCACTATAGTGTGTGCTGGCATCATTCTTTTGGATGTGTGCAACATGGATAATTAAAATAATAATCCTGTCTAACCTTTGCTAGCCTAAAAAGCAATTTGTAATGCAGGTCAGAAAGGGAAGAAAGTTGCCCTCTAGGGGAATGTGTGATGAGAATAGATTCAGCAGCCTTGGCAGAAGATGATCTAGTAAAAACATAGCATATTTAAGGCATTTTTCTGCCTTATCCCATCTAATACATGAAAAATGGCTTGTAAAGATTAGCAAAAGGAGGCAGTAAATAGAGGAAATGAATTGAAGGAAAAGAGTCCTTTCCCTGTTTGAGGCATTTCCTGAAATCAAAGCACTGGAATGGAATGGGGGAAACAGTCTTTTAATTTTTTAATCTGTATTTGTTTCACTAACTGCTTGTTTTTTGTTTTCAGTTACATCTTAAGATTCTCTCATCAGAGCCAAAACTGTTGGAAGAATTATCCAAATTGTCAATGCACCTTGAGGAAACTTGGATTCACTTGCAGGCTCTCTTCAATCAGAGTCTGTGTGTTTTAACATACATGAAAAGTGCTTTGCTGTAAAATACTTCAGGGTTTTGTCTGCATAAGATTTCCCTCAGAGGAATAGTACAGTTTATTACCAAAAATACTGGATTCCAAAAATCATACTGGGTCTTGGAATCATTGAATCATTAAGGTTGGAAAAGACCTTCAAGGCCTTCAAGTCCAGCATTCTGCTGGATACCACCCTGTCCACTAAGCCATATCACTAAGTGCCAGACTGCTCATTTTTTTAAATACTTCCAGGCATGGTGGTTCTTCTGATGCTGTATTTTATTCATCTACATATGGCAGAGTATTTTAGAACATGCATAACTGCTTATTTTTTGTTCACTTCAGTTGGAGAAAAAATTACTACATGCAGCTAAAGTATTTGTTGTCTGTTGTGTTGGTCTGTGCTGTCAGTGGACATTTGGATTCAAGGCTCGCAGCAACCTGGCCTTGTGGAAGGTGCCCTACCCATGGAAGGGGTTGCAAGTAGATGATCTCTAAAGTTCCTTCCAACCCAAGACATTCAGTGATTCTCTGATTCTATGGCTATGTGAAATTAGTTCACAATGAAGAAATAACTCATGAGGAAAAAAAGAAGTGGGAACTTCCATGCAGGAAGCCAAAAACTATATTGTTCTTAATAAAGTCATTGTTGATGCAAAAATAAAACAAAAAGTCTGAATTATTAACACATTGTAAACAATAGTTTAGAGCAAATTAATCTAAAAATTGTCTTCCTCTGCAACTAGAGCACTTTTCCTGTGATGGTTGTAAAAATCAGTGGTCTTCTCACTTTTGTGGACATCTATTTCTGAACGTAAAGATTTCCAGCTGTACTAACAATGATTGAATTTCAAAAAAACCCTAAAAACCAAAGGACTAAACAAACAAGAACAGATTTTTGGGAGGCCCAGTTTTGTATGAAAATTGTTTCTTGTCTTAAGGTAAAGGAGAAAAAAATAACGGAAAAAAACTTTGTTTTGAGGAATTTTTAATTTAATCAGATGGGGATTTTTGCAAATTGGTATTTAGGTTTCAAAGCATTATGATGTTTGGGACCGCATGAGTGAAATTATCTTGAACTTTGCTGTTTGAGAGTTCTTCCTCCCTGCACAAGAATCTCTTGAACAAGGTCTTTGCTGTATTCACATGCTCAAGCTATGTGCACAGACCAACAGGGTAACTAATACAAATATATGCAATTTCAAAGAGTAAACTTGAAAGGTTTTGCATTTCAAAGAAGACTGAAGTATTAGTGTGGGTCAGTTGTAGTGTATAGCTGCTTTTTTTTTAATGCCATCACATTGTAGAACTGTTTTTAGTCATGTGTACTGGAACAAACTATCTGCAAACATAAAATCATACGATAATAGAAGAGGATCTTAAAAATCATCCACTTCCAACCCCTGCCATGGGCAGGAACACCTTTCACTAAACCAGGTAGCTCAGGGCCCCTTTCAGCCTGACTGGACACTTTCAGGAATGGGACATCCACCGATTCTCTTGGCCATTGTTACAGGGAAGAATTTCCTGTTCATGTCCAATTTGAACCTAATGTCCTTGAGTCTAAAGCCATCATGTACACACGAGGTTTCTTACCAAGTTTGCTACTGAGATTTAAGAAAATCCTTTGTACCACAGAATTACTAGTTTCTGGTGATACGGTTCTTGGCACCCCATAAATTGTTCCAAATTTTTGGATTGATCTGAAATTGTCCAGAATACCTTAAATGTCAGTGTAACATATAATGAACCTCTCAGATTGCAGGTGTTCACATAACTCCTTTAGATTTTAGAGAATCATTTTCCAAATAAAGACAAAGTGTTCAAAGGTTAATAAGGCAATATTTGCAGACCTGCCTCTGTGGAAGAAGGAAGAGTGGATAAAGAACTTTTCCTGTTTGATCAGAGGAAGGGTCTCTCAAGCCCACTACTCTGTCTCCAGCTGGAGGAAGGAAGATTTGTTGTACAGTAGCCTGGTTGTGTATAAAGTGATTGTTTCTCAAGCATATCACAGCACCTTTCAGCAGACAGATATTAGATTTTCTGTGGCCCAGCTGTAGCCTGACAGTTGTGTTTAATATTCTGTGACAGACCTTTTGTTCTCTGTGAGTTCATCTAATCTCTTTTAGAACCCATTTATCCTTCACAACATCCTGTAGTAATGGGGCCTACAATTTAATTAACAGGAATAATGTATTTCTGTTTATATACTCCAGACTTGCTATCTTCTGATGTTGTATGCCTCTCCTTGAATGTGAGGACTATCAGTTGTGCTCTAATCTTCATGCTTTACAGACTTTGCCTCACAGCAGTGGCAAAAGGGTTTCTACTCATGAAGGACATACTTTATTTCACTGGGTGCACATATCTGCTTTTTCACTGACATCCAGAAACCCTTTCTGGGAACAGATGTTTAAATCTATTTGTACAAGATTTGTCTACATAACCTGTAAGGATTGTAGAGTAGGGTTTTTTCCCCCCCTTCCATTTTCATGGTCTGCTTGATGTAGTCATGAGAAAAAACTTTGCCAAACACGCTGTATTCTTCTTAAACATCAGGGTAATTTTTGTGACCAATGTATGTATAACACAGTTGATGTGGTGTTTGCAGTCCTGTATGACCTCATTAAATGTGTTTAATGCAGTTTCTTATATCATGTACATATATGTTTGAAGTTCACATGGAACAGTTCAATAACTTCTTTCAGAATATAGTATTTAAATGTAAGTGATAGCTCATTTTCTTTCTTGTCTTTTTCTCAATATGTCTACTCATCACTCCTATTTCAGGGGTGTTTTGCTATTATTAGAGCTGTAGAGTTTTCCAACAATAGTTCTGATTGCTTCATGTTCTTGGTCTTTTATTTTTACCCCATATCAAAATGATGAGCAACTTGCTGTTAATAAAAACTTCTTCAGGAATAAAAAGCAATTTGCTCCTGTTAGTAGATGAAAGTAGATATTTCACCTGCTACATTCTGTATTATTCGTTTACCTGAGACATCAAAGGACAGTATTTTGTGATAGTCAAAAATTGTTGATTACAAGTGGTAACACGTGAAAATTGAATTTTATAATTTTGGCTTTATTGCCCATAAGAACTTGCATTAGCATGGTGCTTTTGTAATAGCATATGCAATAGGATGTAGAAGAAATGCTAGATGGATGAAGGGATATTCAAGTTAACTGAGTTTTCTGCCAAGCAGGGCAGCTACTGGGGATTTTACCATTACACAATGCCAAACCCATCTTAAGCTAGCTCTTGTAGCAGCTTGCTGTTAGAATTCTGTGTTATTCGTGTGTCACAGCACTCCTTCCAGCTTCCTCTCAAGCCTGTGCCCACCTTCTGTTCCTGTGTTTCTTTTTCACCATGGTTTTCTCAGCTCCTTTGGTTCCTGAGTGCAGCTGCTGCTCTTAGCAGCTCCTGCACATGGCTGTACTGTCAAGTTAGGTTCTCTGTACTTCCACTATTTGCTTCTGACTTATTTTTTCCAGGCAGATTTGGTTCTGCTGGTTGTTTTGAGCCTGGTAGTTGGACCTTGCTACCTGAATTTACTACTGAGTGGATTCAGATGCTGCACAGTGAACTTTGCTCTTCTCTGAGCTGTAAGAAGCCTTCAATCTTACAGAGGTATTAGGCTTGCAAACATGAAGAGAGAGTAGGAGGCTACCAATGTTTACATTGGCTACATTGTTCAGTAGCCAACCTATACATCTGACTTCAAGCACTCCAACATTTTGTACGTTTCAAATGTAACTCTTCAAGAAAAATGTAAGAAAGATCTGTGCAAGTTATACTGCAAGTGTTGTAGTCCTAGAGTAAGGACACTGGAAGATACTAATTTGCATTCTGTGAATTAGAAAAGGCAGAGTGTTTGCTGGCATATTTGAACTCTTTTAATGAGCTGTGTTGAAGGAGTTTAGCATTGTTCAAGGATCACTATTACATAAGTAGTTATTGTGTTGTCTGTTGGTGTCAGCTGATGTATCATACATTTATCTTCTCAGCATATCCTGATCTGTATCTTAAGAACTATTTGTTTTATGAAAAATTATCTTTTAATAAAAGTAGTTTACCTTTTTAGAGATGAGGAATCCAATCAGTGTCTTATTTGATGCCAGTGCAAGACTGGCATCCTTTAGTTTTTGATGTGTTTGCAATATGTGTTAGAGGGCAAGAGAGCAAAATGCTGTCATTAAATGTCCTTAGCCCCTGTGATTTTCTTTTTGTGAAGCAGTGCTGAATTGAGAAAAGCAAAGTGAAAGATAAAATAACTAAGATTTTTCTACCCTGGTGGTTATATCTTCTACTGTATGATTCTGTGTTCCCCGTGAAGATTAAATGAGCTCTCTGTTGCACATCACAGAGCTTTGCTGTTTGGTAGCAGTCTCTGAAAAATTACTTTCCTCCACTGATGTGTGCACTGCTGGTTTGTGAAACAGCTTATGTGACTGTGTGGAATTACATATTACTTCCCAGTGTGTTAAAGATGTGCTGGCTCTATGACCGTTAGATTATGAATGTTTTAAGGGTCCTCACCATGAAGGATCACACATCACTTTGGTGTTTTGCAGTTACCTGAAAACATCCATAGAATAAGTTAGAATAAGTTATCCTGTAGCCAAGCTGATAGTTGCCTTACAGCTGCACAGCTGAAGATCTATCACTTACTGTCTCTTAAGTTGCCCAATATTGGTCTCAGAATGAGACATGAATTTAGCAACTCATCTCATCCATTAGCACTCCAAACACTTTTTGAGGGTTGTTCAGATTCAAATGCCTCAAAAAGATTTTGTAAGTATAGCTCACTGAAAAACGTAGCCCTGGCATTCTTTTCTTACAACCTGTGATGTTCCTGCTGCTCTGGAAATGTTCCATCTGTTTAGCATGGCTGGAACTGAAAAGTCACCAGCCTGTTGTAATGCAACATGTCCCTTCCTGTCCTGTGGAGCAAAGGTTAAAGCCCAGGTAAATATGTTTTCAGAGTGTGTCAGATTGCATATTTTGTTGAACATCAGGTTTGATCACACAGGGTTGTGCAGCTAGTTGTTGTTCACATTTATGATTAACCTTTGTGTTTGCCCATTGCTATGGGTTGATGAAAGGGTGAGGGATGACTGCCCAGTTCTCTTTGAATAATTGCATTTTAACAGAATTAAGACAAATGTAAGTTATTTCAGCAGTGCTTACATCAGTACTTAATTGAGATGGTTTATTCATGGTGCTAGAGTAAACAGCACCATCTGTACAGAAATCCCTGCAGCTCCCATTGTGTTGGTGGGTGAGGATGACAACCCACTGATGCATATGGAAAGGGCAGAAATACTTGATACTTTTTTTTCTTCTTCAGTCTCCACAGGCAAAGCATGCTTCCATTTTCAGTGTGTGCCAGCCTCCTCTCTGAGGGAGTTGCCAGCAATGGGGGAGAAATGGGTTTGAAACTTCAGAATGCAGAGTTCTGAAGTCACCTCATAACCAAGGGACTGCATGGGACTTGTGCACACACGCTGTCTAGTGTGGCAGCATTGCCTACCACTGTCTGTCACAGGCCATTTTTAACAGGTGAAGTGGAGGATGGGGGAGCTGTTGGTTCATCAAACTTCCCTCATTCTCCAAAAGAATCATGGAGAAGTGCTGCATGTGCATTTGGAATCCATCTTCAGTCCACAAAAGGAAAGATTAAGAGAGTCACAAGGGTGATTCAGGCTTGCCCAAGATGTTCACCTTCTAGCATGAAATGGCTGGTTGGGTGCACAAAGGAAGAGCCATGAATTTAATCATCAAATTTAGTGCAATAACAGCAGTCTGTGATTACATTATCATAGTCTATTAAGAAACACTGTAAATTGCTACTCTGAAAGTCACAGGCATGCTTTCAGTTAATATTTTGCAAATTATGGTGCTTGTTCATGGCAGTCTATGTACCGTGTACCTTTTATACTGTGAGCTGACTTAAGTATCATATTGGTTCTACAGCACCGAGGTGTGAATTACTTTTGCAGTTATCTGTTATAATCAGCATTACAGAAATTAATTTAGTCACGTTCTAATTATGCCTAATGCATGATTATTTTGTTTAATATCCCATAGCAAAGAAGCTCAATAAATTAGATGCAGAATGTTGAATAATGCTAATGGTATTCAAGAGATTTGCACTGAGGCGTAGAAGATTGAGACTGCCAAGTGAGTTGAAAGTATTTCAAGTGAATGGCTGATAAAACATTTTTCTTAAGTTGGTGTGTGCTACAACACACTTGGCTGTTTTATAAATTCTTACCTTTTATCCACAGAGGTTTCAGTTTTGTGTGTCACCACTGTGTCATGTCTCCTGCTGCAGTTATAGATCTTTCTTGTTTTTACAATAGCTTCTTCAGCCTGACTATTTCATAACCATTTGGTAACACAATTTGTGTTTGAGCAAAGACTCTTCCTGGAGTACAAGGCGCTTACTCTGGGAATGGTGAGAGGTCCAAGAAACACTGTTAAAAGAGACTGCAAAACCGCATAGCCAGCTGAGAAAGTGACACAAAGTGCAGTTTGCTTAGTGTGAAGGTGATACTTAGAAATGTATTTCTGGAACAAGGCTCTGCTGCTTAAGCTTGGAGACAGCAAATTGTACAAGAAGCAGACTGTGATGTATCCTCAGGAACTGAGTGCTTACTGCAATTAAATCTCATTTCTCAGTCAGGAAAATGCATTAAGTGATTTAAAGAACCTGTGCAATCAGAAGTAGAAAAGGTTGTCTGTCCTAAGAGAAAGGGCCCCTGTACAGTGGTACTTGACCCAGGAGAGAATGTCCTCTCTAGAGATGCTGTCCCCTTTGCAGCACACCTCTCAAAAATTAATGAAAAATAGCCCAAATATCACAGGAGTTACAACAACAACAGCAAAAAAACTGATTGGAGGAGAAAACCACAGAGCATCATTTTACACAAGAGAACTTGCAGGTAATGAAGTAATACCAGTGTTCCTGGAGGGAAGCAAGGATCTGTTTGCTGAAAGCCTGTAATGAGTAAAGACAAACAGTCACATTTCTCTTCTTTCCTGCTTAGCTGTGGGAACACTGAGGCTGTGCTGTAGAAGCTCTCTACAGTACATAGACTGTAAGACCTTACCTTTATGCCTCCTTCTGCTTAGACAGGGTCGCAGGGTCCAAAAGTGCCCCAGCTGGGTATAATAATATCCTCAATATTAAACATTGAGGATATCACATGCAAGTTGCAATCCTGGCCTTTGCAGGACTAAACAGAATGAATTTCCTCATAAGCAGAAGGCCCAGACCTGGAATTCTGCCTTTCTGAAAACTGATTTGCTTTCTATATAATTTGGGATTCCAGTCTGCCTACTGTGATTGACAGTGTTGAGACCTTAAAGGGCAAGAGAAAGACATGTAGTGGAAAATACAAAGATATTGCCAAAGTAATAACTTGATAAAACTATGTGAAAAAATGTACAGATATTTTCCCAAAATAATCCAATTAGTGAGATATACTGAATGTTTCTAGGGGCTGTCAAGACCTGAACAGATTTGTCTTTCTAAACAGAAGGTAAAGGTACAAATTATTTTTTAGTGAAAATAACTTTCTGTGAACTTGGGCAATTTTTAAACCTAATTTATAATTATTTAATAACTACTTTGTAAAGAAAGAAAGTACTGAAATTGTCAAAATTAAGGAAAAAAAATCAGTGAAATATTAGGAGAGAAATAATGACATAAATTTAATCCTAAATTATAATGACACTGAAAACATTATATGCTAATGAAAGTTTACCATGTTAGATTCTCTTCTTCATGCATATGAGAATGTTTTTTAAACATGAGCCTGGTACCTGGTGTTTAAAGAATAACTCTTGATTATATCATACATATGTAAATGGACTGTTTTGACATAACTGAGGAGGTGCCGTTCTTCATTGAATGCCTTTTCCTTTCATGCTCTAAGGAAAGGCTTTGAAAATATGGTACATGTTTTTCAAGCAGAACCATAGCACAGCTTAGATACTCATTCCTCAGCTTATTTATCATTTGATATGATGGAGAGGAAATCCTGGAGCCACAGATCATTGCAGATGTTACCATTAATCTCAATATAACGCGCCCTTATGACCCCAACTCTCCTTAAATCTCTGGACTAGGAAAGACAGACAGAGCTCTGGGATTAGCAGGAGGTTGCCCTGTGAGTTGTTACTTAACTTCAACATGGACCATCAACCTTGATAGGCCTGGACAGCCTAACAGAGACATAATGTACTGACTGAGGCATCAGATGCAGATGTTCCAATAATAAGATTAATTTAAACCCATTTTAATTGATCTATCAAGTTATGTGGGCTTGTGCCCAGGAGTGGAGTGTCAGTGTTAAGCTGAAAGCTGAGGCTGGAGAAGGAATCAAACCCAAATCATGATGGTAGAATATTCTTACCATCTCAATGTGTTCCATCAGTAAAATAATGGTTACAGCAGCCTCTCTGTAGTTCAGCTTTATGTCCTGCTCCAGATTGGTTTGTTACTTTGATTTAAATATTTTTTAAAATACTGGTTACAGTTCTAAAAGAGATGCTGTGGTCTAGGTAACTATAAACTGGTTTAGCTGTCTGCTTTTAATAACTGTCAGTTCTAAGTGAACTGTCAATTAAAATGACAGATTAGAGATATCTACAGTGAATCTCTAGTCAGTGACAAGAAACAGGCTTCTATGCTACAAGACAGCCTGCTGTAATAACAGGAAAACTATTTTTTATAATAGGCCATAAATTAATTTTCTACTATCTTTCCACAATAAAATAGTATGTTGTTTTGGAAAGAAACTGGGGTAAAAGCCTTCAACAAGACTTTTGTAAAACTTACAAAGACAAGATTGCTAAATAAGTTCGTGAATTTTACTTAATCATGATTGAGAACTGCATTCAGAAAAACTAAGTAACTGTTTTTATGTGCATTGGAGAACATTAAATGATATAATTCACTGTCTTTATTTAGAAAAGGGCAACTGGCAGTTTCAAATTATGTTCTAGCCTCTGTTGTTCTGTTGTAATTAGTGTACATTGCCACAGACTTTACCTCCCACAAATACTAACCTCACTA